ATCATGTGGTAAAAGTCCATGTTTGAGGAAAATTAATATTCACTTTTTACCCAATCAGATTGCATTATAAAAAAATACAGTGGGATTTAATGACAACAGATGGTAAATATGATTAAAGTTATAGGCACAAAACAAGAAAAACCCAGGAGCTCTGACTCTCCTTTTGATTCCTGAATGAGGACGTGAACAAATAGAAGGTAATTTCATGGTAGTTCATATAACTAATGGTTTCATGTCGTGTAGAGGCTATTCGAGTTATTCTCAATTTTGCCGTCGATAAAAAAAGAACCTTGAAAATGCGGAAGTAATCCGGCGAACATACTATAAAGAACGAAATAGAACAATTGAAGTATAGAGTATTGGTGTTTGCAAATTCACTTTCCTGTTAAAATTGAAATATCTAAGTTTCATTAGATCACTAATAACCATTTTTTTAAGCCAAGAGGGGGTACTCGAATTAGGAAGAGAGAGTGGTGATTATCTTTTATCGTCTTGCGGTATCTTTAATTCACTTTTAAACATGTAAATTCACGTGTAAACGTTACATGTTCCTCAAAAGTAAATRTTTTAGTTTACACTATCTTTCTCAATGTATCTAAASAACATCATGTAATAATGAATGTCTGGTTTACCAGTTGATATCACTTATTACAGTCACATATCTTATGTTGACACGCCCAGCCTTCATAGGAGTAGTATTTTGCGACAATCACCGCCATCCTGTGACACATGGCAGCTCCCCAATGAGGAGTAATTACCACYAGGATATTATCGCTGAGARGTTTTCAGCTTGGATTCCTCRTGGATAAGAGTGATCATACCGTTGAGATAGCAATGTCATGACGACAAAATACACTCATMTTTCAAATTTCTCTATTTTAKCTGTAGCTAATTTTTCAGATGTAAAGTGACAATTTTGTTTTTAAAAGCTTGGATTTCTATTAGATAGAACTTATTTTGACATTATAATTCGTTATTCTTATTTAGGAAAATGATCAACATTAATTTCTCTGAATATCTTCATGACATCTAAACAGCTGGTGCTAAACAGGCGTTTATTCACGTCTAAATGCAAATTATCATATRAATAAGATTAGCAAATAGTTTTCCGGCCTCATCTAAATGTAAGCAGCTATACAGCCTACAACCGATGACAAAATCCTTGGCCACCATTAATCCAGAGAATTTCCTCGTTTTAAGCAACACCCGCAAACAATTTCATCCCCCCAAACCAATAAATGCAATGTTGTCATTGGGCATGTTATCATAGTACACAAGCATCCAAAACAAGACCCAACATTGATGAAAGGGGGCTATGGGGGAGAACTGTGAAAAAAGGAGAGAAATTTGTAATTGAGGCCGGAGACAAATTCTATGGTCCAAGATTTTTTTCGGCAACGATTGTAGCCTGACAGTTCCAAGCTAAGCAATTACAATCGAAATTAAAAAAAAATAAATTCCTCCCTACAGCTAGAGCTTCCTCAGCATCTCTCAGCACAGCAGGCAAAACAAAACATAGCGAAACAACATATCATCGTCGTTCATAAAATGACCTCTACATAGGTCCCTACAGTTATTGTAAGCATAAGYCGGTTTGCGTAACACTCGGGCTGGTTCATCGATACAGAGCACTCTGGACGAGACCCGACGAAAGAAGTAATGCCATAAAATAAGGCACTGATGTTTATGCTTAAGYTTAAAGTTCAAAATAACAGCATATTAAGATCATAACTTACCGATTACTATGAAAGTTTGAAGTCTTTACATGTAATATTTATCGCATGATATAGCGTTTAATGATATGCTCGTTCTGTATGGTTATAGCGCTGGTTATATAACCAAGCATTCTGTATGTAGTGTTTAAAAAACAAGCAGGCCAAAGGCCGAGTGTCTATATCCCCGATAAAGCATGACTGCAGGTTTTTATACTACTTCTAGAACTCCAACATCCAGAAATTGCTATCATTTTAGAAAAAAGCTAAAAAATGCGAAAACAGAGATTATGCATGTTAAACTTCTACTGAGCATGTGCATTTGTCACAAATGAAAGAATTTTGATCCCACACGTAAGAACGGCTAGTCTATGCTATACTGCATATCTGCACATTGATTTAAACTGATTTAAAACCTAGCAAAGGTCTATGATGCGACATTAAAACTGAGAACTTTGCTAGTGTTGGGTTGCGATAAAGCGCTGATGACCTTCAACACATCAGTTCTTTATATCTGATATAGAACTGATTAATAAAACATCAGTTCTATATCTCTGATATAGAACTGATTAATAAAACATCAGTGCTTTATCGGGATATAAGGGTCCATCATGTGACCCAATAGTTGGATTCTGATTGGACTAATAGCTCATGAATTATTAATGAGTTCTAGAAAAGTAATTCAGAAAACCGTATTTTGTTCATCAAGGAAAGCAGTATTTTGTTGTTATTGGATTAAAACCTGAACGTTCTATGCTAATGAACCAAACAGATTCACGGCCCATAGAGAAGATGACGTCATCACCGATTTTCTGCAAATATGATAATATTTCCACCCAATGATTTTTAGTTTATAGCCATTTATACACTAATATGGCAATTATAACAAATATTTATTATGTCGTTTTTTTCAGTTTTGTAAAGAGTGACGAAATAACACACTATAATCTTCAATGTGGGTAACATGGATACTAGCAGTGGAGGCCATCACCATAGTAACGACCAACACTGTTACCATAGTGACATTCACAAGAACCCCTCGTCTGCACATGCGTAAATACTGTTTG